TTCTGACAGGCCACTGTTCCATTGTTATCTTTGAATGTTCCCATTTATTCCCCCCTGTCCTTACCTTTGTACTCTCTGATAAATTTTTTCTTACTGGATGATTATAATTTCTGGCTCACAGTCTTCTCTATCCCTCTCCCTCCTGATTTGATGATACATTTTTTTTTTTCTTTTTTGGTCAAAGAGAGTTTATTTAAAATGAAGCTAAAACTTTTTTTGCATGAGAAAGATTGAATAAACCTTACACAGAAGTAAAAGGTTAATAAAACATTAAAAGGAGAGATTTCCTGTTAATTGGAAGAAACTGTATGATTTTTGTTAATAAAGAAGACAAAGTTGTATCTGCTTTCTTAACACTCAGGAATTAAGGAGGATTTTCCATGTCTGAAAAGAGGTTAGAATTTCTGGAGACAGAGTTCAGTACATTAAGAGGATACATCCAGTGGGCTGAATTGCTCTGAAAGTTTCTCAGCAGAATCCATAGGACCAGTATCTGCCACACGAAATGGGTGGCAGCAGGCAGTTGATGATACTTTTTTTTTTTTTTAAAGATTTTATTTATTTGAAAGAGAGAGCACGAGCATAGGGAGAAGCAAACTCCCTGATGAGCAGGGAGCCCAATGTGGGGCTCGATTCCTGGACCCTGGGATCATGACCTGAGCTGAAGGCAGATGCTCAACCAACTGAGCCACCCGGGCACCCTTTTTACTTCTTATTTCTCATTTACTTGTATGATCAAATAAACCCTTTCCCTTAAAGTATTGTTCCAATTCTCTCCCTTCCTTCCTCTGCCAGATTTTTTGGAAGAAAACTAATGGCTCAACTCCTTTAGTAGATATATCTTGATTTTTTTATAATCTGCTTTGGTTTCCAAAGTTTTTATTGGACAGCCCATTCCCTGGTCAAATATCTCCTAAGTCGTTAAATGCAGAGATCTCTTCCAGCCTATGTAGTATATGGTATTAACTTTCCTTTATCCTTTAAGACTTCTCTTCCTTTGCTTTTTAGTAAATGCTTTTTAAAGTTTTCACTCTTCTGATTACTCTTATTTTTGTTCACATTAATATCCTTTAAAACTTATTTGCTTTTTCTTGAAACTTGGAAAACTTTCCCTACCGTGTAAATCTGTGCTGTCTAATATGGGAGCTGGTAGCCAAAGTTCCATTGGAGATATGGCCAGTTCAGACTGAGATATTCTGTTAGTATATAATACACACTGGGATTTTCAAGATTTAAGGTGAAAAAGAGAGAATGTAAAATATCTCATTAAATTTTATTTATTTTTTAGATTATTTTTTAAAGATTTGGGAGTCCTATTGCATACAGCCTTCCACCATTTATGGACCCCTCCCCACTCTTTCTCTTCCCTCCTGGAACAACCCAGATTCCTCGTTTCCTAACAGCTTGTCAGTCCTTTTTTTAAAATTTATTTTTAATTTAAATTCAATTAATTAACATATAATGTATTATTGGTTTCAGAGGTAGAGGTACATGATTCATCAGTCTTATATAACACCAGCATGTGCCCATCTTAATGTCCATCACCCAGTTACCCCATCCCCCCACCTCCCTCCCCTTTAGCAACCCTCAGTTTGTTTCCTATGATTAAGAGTCTCTTACGGTTTGTCTCTCTCTCTGGTTTCGTCTTACATGTTGATAATATTTTATATATATTGGGTTAAATAAAAAATATTGCTAAAATTAGTTTCACCTCTTTATTTTTTTAAAGATTTTATTTACTTGAGAGAGAGAGCATGAGTGGCGGGGGCGGGGGGTGGCACCCTGCGGGGAGGGGCAGAGGGAGAAGGAGAAGCAGGTTCTCTCCTGGGCAAGGAGCCCGACCTGGGGCTTGATTCCAGGACCCTGGGATCATGACCTGAGATGCTTAACTGACTGAGCCACCCAGGCGCCCGTTTCTCTTTTTAAATATAGCTGTTACATCTGTGGCTTGATTATATTTCTGTTCAACAATGTTGATATAAATTTTATCTTTTTTTAAAGATCTTCCAGATCACTTTTCCATCTAATACAAATTTCTTTTCTGAATTGCAGTACCAGCCTTTTCAGCCTTCTGGAGCATTTACTCCCCCGGCGTGCCCCCCCCCCCCCCACCGCAACATACTAAGCTTCTTTAGAACCAGGGCAGTTCCCCATAGTGCCTTTCATATATTGGGATATAGAGATAAAAGAGATAGGAATATTAAAAATATATATACACACTAACATGAATAAATGACATGGCTAGTATTATCACTTTATCAAAGACGATACTTAAAGTAGATGATGCTGGTTGTGATGTTTTTGCTCAATCTGATGGGAAATATGAGGGATTGATGTGAAGGGGAGGAGAGACCTTACTCTACTCGGAGATATTAAAAATCTGACATGTACTTCCCCCAAGTATATTCAGTCACCCCAGGCCACTCTGATGGTTCTGAACTATGCTGTTGTGATTTTACCGCCATCTGGTGTCAGGATTAGGAAACTGTAGTTCAGTACTTTGTCTACTCCCCCACCCTGCCTCCTGCTGGACAAAGTAGGCAGTATTTACTGGGCATGTGGGCCTGCTGCTCTTCTTCTTCACCTAGATAAGTTACTGGTAAGAGCTCATTTAATTTCAGTGTAGGAACTCTTCTTACAGCAGTCTTTCCTTGGCTTCCCTGATAACTTCCTTACCGGTTTCCCTCATGTTTCTGTGGCTCTTCTCTTTCATTCTCAGATAGTCCATTTCTCTTCCAATGTAATTTTTTAGTCCTAGATTCTGGGCCCTACCCGAGGCTTTAAATACTGCCTATTTATAGAACAACTTATAGTTATAGCCAAAAAATCTCTTCTGATCTTGTCACTGATGTGTCTAGTTGCCTACTAACTGGCTGTTACGTGAGCATCTCAAACTTAAATGTGTTCAAATCCAAATGTGGATCTCTTACCACACCCCAGTTTCTCAAATCTCTTTTTCTCATTTCAGTAATTTATCATGCCAGAATTCTTGGAATCATCTTGGCATCCCCTGTCTCTTAACACTCATTAGTCATTCACCATGTCCCATTGAGTCTATAAAGATGCACTCTTGTGCGTGTTTAAGTGCTCCCTGCTCTGGCCTTATCTAAGCTACCACTGTCTCTTGTCTGCATGAGTCAGTTCCTAATTAGTCTCCCTGTGTACACGCTTGACTGCATTCACATGTTTTATGTTAATTTGTTTAAACTGCCTCTTCTAGCATGAGAGGTCCATGACGGGGGAGTGACTGCATGCATTTGGTTTATCATTGGGTCCTCGGCCCCTGGTACAGGTCCTGAGACCTGTGTAATACATATGTAGCCACTAGGCTCTCAGTGATGTCGATATGGCTTCTGTAATTTTGCTGATTGAGTTCGAATGCATTAGAATTTCTTGAATGCTTTATTTTGGCATTAGTATTTTGTCTGAGTTCATTTATCCTAAATGAGTTTTAGCTCTTTTCTACTTTGGCCCAGAGAATTATAATTGTATCTGTAAGGACAATATATTTTGGGTTTTAATCTGCTAATGACTATTTATATATTAGGGACTGCTGATCAATATGCTGAAATTTTCTGAACATTTGAAATTTCACGTCATTGGTTTGTCTCTTAGCATTCTTCTTTCTGAAATGCAATGTTCCTTAATTTTAATATGGAAATACACTTGTTAAATCTTCGCTTAAAACCTGTTTGATGCCAAGTGTTCCTTTAAATGGAGGCTCAGATCTTGATAGTTTCATTTAGTAATTTTGGTTTGCTTTGATGCTTTAAATCTTTTTAATTTTTTTAAAGATTTATTTGTGAGAGAGAGAATGAGAGAGAGCATGAGAGGGAGGAGGGGTAGAGGGAGAAGCAGACTCCCTGCTGAGCAGGGGGCCCGATGTGGGACTCGATCCCGGGACTCCAGGATCATGACCTGAGCCGAAGGCAGTCGCTTAACCAACTGAGCCACCCAGGCACCCTGCTTTGATGTTTTAAAGTTAGTTTTGCTTTATAAAGTTTTACTCTTCGGACTTTCTACGTTGAATTGGATATTGCTTAATAAGGAAATTTAATTTGTAAAAGTAGAGGTGATTTAGTAAAAGCTGGTGGTTAGAGATAAGCAACAATCTGTACGCTAAGGATGCAAATTCAAGAGAGCAAGGACTTAATAGGTATATACCAGGGTTTCTCAGCCTTGGCATTACTAACATTTTGGGTCAGATTTTGTTGTATGCTTGTATCGGACTTGTCCTAGGCATTGTAGGGTTTTAGTGGCATCCCTGGTCCTACCCACCAGCGGCAACCCCACCTCTCCAGTTATGACAACAAAAATGTCTGTAGAGACTGCCAAATTGGAACGTGGGAAGCAAAATCACAGCAGTTGAATACCAGTAGTATGTAGTATACTTAGAAGTGGATAAGAGATCATGAAATGTCTCACTTGGGAAATCTTTGATATTCTCTAGATGTCTTTGAGAGTATGGTAGCTATGTAGAATATTGTTAATGGCAAACAGAAGTAGAGACTGTATGACTATGTTTTTCACATCATAACATTTCTGTGTTTACTTAGAATAAAGTCACTTGTTCTTAACCACCTGGTTCTATCCCCAAACTGAAAATGTGTACGCATTCTAAATCATACATCACTGATAAAGTTTCATTTTGTGGACTGACATTAGAAGTTAGGTGATGGGGTGCCTGGGTGGGCTCAGTCAGTTAAGCATTGACTCTTGGTTTCAGCTCAGGTCATGATCTCGTGGTTGTGAGATTGAGCCCCACATTGGGCTCTGCGCTCAGTGCAGAGTCTGCTTTAGATATTCTCTCCTTCTCCCTTTGCTTCTCCCCCCTGTTTGTACTCTCTCGATCTAAAAAAAAAGTTAGGTGGTGGTTAAAAAAAAGGGGGGGAGCCAAGATTACAGTGTAAAGAGTAGCTTATAATCAGAGCTTTTGCCATTTGTATTGTGTATGTATTACAGGATATAATTCGCTTTTTTTTTTTTTTTTTTCTTCAAAGGGACATGAGAGATGGCTTTAGAAGAAAAAGTTTCTATTCTTCCCATTACACGAGAGACCGGTCTCCTCATAAAAGAGACCCTCCTTTTATCAGAGAATCACCTGTAGGTCGGAAGGATTCTCCACACAGCAGGTCTGGCTCCAGTGTCAGTAGTAGAAGCTACTCTCCAGAAAGAAGCAAAACGTACTCTTTCCATCAGTCTCAACATAGAAGTATGTATTTTTAAAACTTCTTTTACAACCTCCACTAATGAGAATGTACTGATTCAGATTGCCTTATAGGTATTGTAAGATATATTTTTAACCTTTTATTTTGAAAATTTTGAAACATAGAAAAGTTGAAAGAATATAATGAATACTACACACACACATTTTTTGGAACCATTTCAAGTTGCAGTTCACACTGACATTTCACTTCTAATTTTCAGCACAGAAGAGGTGTGTTTGTAATCATGTTGGAAAGTTATATACTTTTGTATTTTCTGCTAGTTCCTGTGCTAGTCCATCCTCTTTAATCTTTTGTCACTAGAAGATATCTGTCTATCTGTATATATATTTGATAGTATATTTTTCATGAAAAATATCAGTGATTTCCCCTAAATATAAGGTATATAATCTTATAGATTTTAGAGCTAAAAACCTACCTTAGGTTCATTTTTTTTCCAACCTCCAATTTGTTGTTGTTTTTTTTTTTAATTTGGAATACCTAGACGTGCATGGCATTCTGTGCAATCATGGCCTGTCATTCTGGCTGAGTTGCTTAGTATGTGTTGGAATAAATAAATGAAGCAACTTATTTTCTAGATAATCTGTTTTAGCTTTCTGGACTCCACTACCTGCAGTTGAGCTCATTCACAAACATTTCCTCATGCCTTCTTAACTTTGATAGAAGAATTAATATGTCATAAATGAGTTAAGATGGTGTGAGCAGGTTAAGGTGAGAGAGATTCTCACTGTGGTAGTTAGAAAAACATGTGATGGAGGAAATCAACATTTGGGCTCATCTTTTATTTCAGATTTCTACAACTATCTTCTAGGTAGAGGGAATTATAAGCCAAGATACAGACACCAGAGAAGTCAAGGGTATTTCTTTTTCTTTACTTTTTAACTTTCTTCCTATTAACTGTTTTGTTTTTGTTTTTGTTTTTGAATAAAGAGTTTTAGTTTAATAGCATTTGCTTCCTGCATGTTGGGAGTGATGGAAGATCACTTCAAATCATTGGACTGTCTCCATTGTAGCTGTTGCTGGATTCCAGTATTTAACAAACATTTATCAATTTTTTGCTGTTTTCAGAGCTAGGTAGAGTGGGGCTTCCAAAAAACATATTTTTGGATACAAGTGTATGAATGGTCGTACAGGAGTTAAGCATGTCAGTTGAGGTAGATTTAAAACAAAATCATTTACATATGCCTGATTGCTTAAAATAAGCATATAGTTCCAGGTAACTGAAAGCTTTACTGTGGAGTTCAGGGTCTATAGTTTGATATTTTCTCGTTGTTTCACTTTCTTCTTTCCCTCCCTCTCCCCTTTCAAGAGGATAAATAACATCTGAGTTCTTTTTTTTTTTTTTTTAAAGATTTTATTTATTTATTTGACAGAGAGAGACAGAGAGAGGGAACACAAGCAGGGGGAGTGGGAGAGGGAGAAGCAGGCTTCCCACTGAGCAGGGAGCCTGATGTGGGGCTCGATCCCAGGACCCTGGGATCATGACCTGAGCTGAAGGCAGACGCTTAACGACTGAGCCACTCAGGCGCCCCAACATCTGAGTTCTAATGCACACTCACATGCACAGATATAAATATTAGCTAGACACCTTCTAAGAAGATACTTTTTTTTTTGGATGTATATGACTTAATCCAAATCTAATGATTTGATTAAGAGGAGGAAAGTATCTTTGGAAACGGATTATGAAGGCTTTTGAACAAAACATGAGTAAAATGGGAGCTTAAGATTCTTACTTGACAGCTTGTAGTGAACCTGTTACTTGAGATAGTTGTTAGTGAATTCATCTTATTCTTTCCATTTCTCCTCTGAAACAGATTTTGAGGGAGGCATTTTTTTGTCTGCTTTCAGCCTGGTAGGTAGTGGTAAAAACTTTAAAATCTTGTGATGAAATGTAGAGGAACCATGTAGAGGAACTCCTTAGGGTCTCCAGCAGACTTTCCCCTTTGAGGCCTAATACCTTTACTATCTGGAGTGATGAAAAGATAATAAAGAAAGCTGGGAGACTAAAATATGGTGCAAATTGAGTGAAATAGAGCATACAACTTTGGTAATGTCTTTATGCTTATTTTTTTTAAGTCCTTGAGCTTCTAAAGTAAAGTTCTTCTATCAAAAAAGTTTGTTCGGGAAAACTCTCTTTACAAGTTACTTGGGTTGATTCCTTAACTGTTTGGGCTGAGCTATTAAAATGTTTTTCTATACTCCTTTCATGTAAATAGTTTTCAGAATAGTTACATAAAATCATCTTGCAAAAAGTTAATGGAGAAGTCTTATTTTAAACAATAATTGGAAAAAGTAATTGTTATGTTACATATTTGTGATACCAGTTCTTGCTTTTAATCTAAATGTGACAGATAATGATGGCACCTTGCTTTTCTTCAAAAAAGAACTGAGAAACAGGGTCCTTAAATTATCAGTTATTTAAACTGGGTTAATTAGCAACAGTGTGTTAATTTGGTTTTTTAAATGTAAATTGAAATTTTGTCAAAGATTTTAAATGTTTCTACAAATAACAAGTAAAAATAATTTTCCTACTCTCCTTATGCCCTCATTTTGCTGTTTGACTTTTAATTTTTTGCTTTTTGTTCACATTTTTCAGTGTAATTTTAATAATCACTAGTAGTGGGGAGCCTGGGTGGCTCAGTCGTTAAGCGTCTGCCTTCGGCTCGGGTCGTGATCCTAAGGTCCTGGGATCGAGCCCCGAATCGGGCTCCCTGCTCAGCGGGGAACCTGCTTCTCCCTCTCCCACTCCCCCTGCTTGTGTTCCTGCTCTCGCTGTCTCTCTCTGTCAAATAAATAAATAAAATCTTTAAAAAAAAAAAAATCAGTAGTTTGGCCATGGTAACCATTGAAGGACTAATTCTTCATAATTCTTCTGTGCATTTAATATATCTCTTATGTGATTAATTATAAGCCACAAAATGATTTTTGCTACTTTATCTCAACTACCTGTTTCCCATTTTGTGCTTACATGTACATACACATGTCTACGTGTGTATTTTATTAAATTTCTTCTACTTAGCCTTTTGAGTTAATCCTGTGAACCTTGTACTGCTTTAGACTAATTATTCTCCTAAATCAAAATGTTATTTTCATTCTGTGCTTTTTAAGAATTTTCTGCCTTTAGCTTAATTGGACTAACATGTTCATAATTGGCACTATAGTAGTCACTATAATATTATTTTTTCCTTTTTGTTGTCCATATTTACACACTAAGTCTTAGTTAACCTCATTGCTTTTCCCTTTATTATGATACCATTCTAGTTAAAATTGTTGTATGTATATCTTGTCTATTTCTACTTGAAGTTTATTTTTATTCCTATTAATCTAACTAAATATCTCCCCATTTGTGAACTCTCTCTCAGATATTTATTTCCTTTTTTCTCCTCTTTCTCAATTGAATCCCATTGTTCTCCTATCTTACTCTTTTGTTTAGGATAATAGCACTAATAGTGACACCAGAAATCACTAAGTTCAGTCTCCCATACCCTGAGGTTCTTTGTTAAAATCCTTCCTGTGATAAATTTACTATATCACAATCCAGTCCTTCTTTCCTTGTATAGTTCATTTTTATAAAACAATTAAAATCTTTTCCTGTAACATCTATGTAGTACTAGATATTTGTCTTAGAGCCATAAAAATGTTTCATCTTTTATGTATTTGAAGAGTACCATCATAATCTTCTCAGTTTTTTCCCCCCTTGGTTTAAATATATTTAGTTCCTTCAGCTATTCCTTTTATTTGACATGTTTTCAGAATTTTGCTTCCTTAATTTTTTTTCTGTTCCTTTTAAGTTGTGATGCAGAAGTGAACTTTTATTTTATCAACCGCACTGTATCACTGGCCCTTATTGAAACTGTAGAAACCTAAGCCATTTTCATATATATTACTATTAAACAAAATGCCCTTCAGCCTGTACTTTTTTTTTTTAGATGCAATTGCTTGAGTGTAGTTTATATATTAAAAGAAATCTAAGAATGCTAAATATCATCTAATTAACTTTGACTTATTACTCTCTTCTGTAGAGGTCTTAAAATCTCATTTAGTGATCCTGTATACTTGCAGTAGATAAAAGTAGCTGTTTCATCGGCAAAGGAAATATGCTTTGTGTTTTGTATTAGTCCTTAATAATTACCTTGAGTAGCATACAGCCAAATACAGAAACCTCTAGAGACCTCTGTCTGTAGACCTCAGCCATTTATCTGCATTGTTTTCAACCAGTTGTGATCCCCCATCTTGTCTTCCTTTTCTCTTGAGGATTTCATGGAAGACTTTGTCAGGTGCTTTCTTGAAACTCTTAAGTTAGAAAGCATTTTCTCTATTAAAACAGTGACATGGGGCGCCTGGGTGGCTCAGTCGTTAAGCGTCTGCCTTCGGCTCAGGTGATCCCAGGGTCCTGGGATCGAGTCCCACATCGGGCTCCCTGCTCCACGGAAAGCCTGCTTCTCCCTCTCCCACTCCCCCTGCTTGTGTTCCCTCTCTCGCTGTGTCTCTCTCTGTCAAATAAATAAATAAATCTTTAAAAACAAAAACAAAAAAACAGTGACATAAGGTTGCCTTGCATTGTTTTGTAAATCCATTGTGTCATGATTATTTAAATACATAGAAACTACCTCTTTGTTAATTCCTTTTAAACATTTGCCTATGGATTAATGTCAGATTTATCACTATGCTTATACATTAATTAGGCTGTGTGACATTTTGGTAGATTTTTAAAAATATTACTACAGAAGATTTGCGAGTTTATTGTTTTGGTTGGTCTGTATCTGTGTTTCTATAGTTCTGACTTTGGGCCCAGTATCCCTTTATTTTCTTGATACCAGCAGCCATTATTAAATATATTTATTTAATTCTATGTAAGTCTATATAGAAGATAACGTTAAAGAAGGATTATTATTCATTAGTGTTTAGTCCTTTTTGAAGGCACATCTACTAAAATAACTGAAAATGTACAAGAATTAAAAATACATTTTGAGAAGAGTATATTTGG